ATTTTTCAAAAAAAGTTTGAAAGCTTGAGAGCCCTTCTATATGTGATTAAATTTTCAAGTATCTAAGGGCCTTGGTTTTTGCTGTGCAAAATTTTGAAAATTTGCTTTTTTTTTCAAAATCTGGATTGCAAAATTATTATGCAAAATCTATCGAACCGATTTTGATGAAATTTGGTGTGATAATTCTACATAACATGAAGTTTTTTTGAGCCAAGCATAAAGGTCCTATACCCAATTTAAATACCCCAAAAAAAAATCCCTAAAAAGTATTGTTTTTTAACCCCATTTATGCGATTTTTTCGATTTTTACAATAATAAACATGATTCATTCGATTTGTAAGTAGACGTGTATTGTAAAAAATTTAATTGCAAACATTTTTTTCCTCTTCCATTTTCGCCTAAAATCAACTCTTGAAAAGATACATAATTAAATAGGAAGAAATATATGACATTTTTCGATTTTTTTTAACATATTGTGCCGCCAAAAGTTAAGCCCACGTTTTTTTTTATGCGCATAGAAAAATTTTCATTTCTAGTGATATTTGAAAGCCAAAAAGACAAAAATCTCCGTGGATATACGATTCACCCAAACCAAAACAGATACCGCCTAGTCTATATGTCAACAAACATAAAAATAGATGCCTCAATTTTTTTAGACTTCATAATCCAATAACTCAATGTTAGTATGTCAAAAAACGTACAAGAAGTTACTTTTAGACAAAAAATCCTTTTTTCCAGAAAAATTTGTTCTAAAAACAAAAAATGGTAAAAAATGTCTGTTAAGAATATGAAATTCGGATTCAGCATGTCCAAAATCGTAAAGTTTGCTATTAGACTGGGATATTTTGATATAGTCGACATTTTGTGGCCGTCATTATGAATTACGAAATTTTCTCAAAAATGGGAATCGTTTATTCGAAAGCTCTTGAGTATACGAACATTTTGAGACCTTAAATATATATTTTTTGCTTTTATTTTTGGAAAGAACGTTGCCCCGGTTGACATGGAATGTCCCATATTTACAATTATTTCAAATTCTTGTTTTAAATTGTTTACCACAAAGCATAGACTATATAAAGCGATAACTGGATTAGTATCTGTTATTTCCAACGTTTCTGAGATATCTATTTAATTTTAAAATATCATTTCATATTATTCAGTGGGATTTGGTGTTGATTAAATAAATTATACAAACCAAAATTTTCTAGATAGAATTTCTCTATATATGAGATTAAAAGCGAGTTAATGCGTTACAATATTTTGTTTACTCACTAAGTTCTTGCTTAAGAATAAATAACTTAACACCTACCGGGATAGCTTAAACTTTTAAACAAACTCATTGCTAGAGATTCCACTTTTTATAGTGTAGGCTTTGTATTCAATAATAATAGTTTCTGGTCCATCTACTGGGAGCGCTGACACTTTTAAACAAACTCAGTGCTAGAGAATCCACTCTATAGTGTTTGCATTGTGCTTTCTAATAAACTGATTAGTTCGTTTTGTCGTGAATACGTTTAATAGAAATCTCTTAACGTAACGTAACAATTTTTTTCCGACAAAAATAAAAAACCTTTTCATGTCTCTTAAGTACCCTTGAAATCTGCAAGCAATAATAATTCGACTTTACATTTTGCTTTTAAGTCAAGGGCATTCTGAATAAATTTTTACCAAAACATTGCCTGTGTAGTATAAGGTAGAATAAGTATAAAAGAGGAAAAGAGAAAACAAAATGTCTAATAAAAAAGAGTCAATGTTATGTATTTTGTACCTATCACCTGACGTTTTCCTTTTTTCGCCATTCCCTTATTTTCTAAAAAAGCTTTATTGGAGGAATACATATTTTATCATATTTCAATACAATATGTCCATCCTTACAGATTTACTCAAAACAGTAACTAAATTTTTTAAGTTTTTGCAAGTTTTTATATTTATAAATAAATTCAAACTTTTTATATACATAGTTTTCAGCATTGCCAATTTTATTATTTTTATTTATAATAAATGATGAGAAAAGAAGAACACGAGACATTTTTTTATCTGAAATAGTACGAAAATATTAAAAAGCTAAAAAATGCCAATTGTAAATTTCATGGAAGTGTATACAGGCTTCGCTCCCATCTCAAATTAATAGAAATATGATTTATTAGAACGGTTCTAGGTCTGAAAGCCCATTTCGTATCCCTATACAAATTAAAACATGGCAGTATATTGGACCCGATCTCATTAAGTTGGTTTCTAATTGGCCTTAGCTCCAGCGACAGGGCCTAGAATGTGTTAATGTTCGAGTATTTCACAAAACGGAACGGAAGCGTAAAAAACTGCGAGATGGAAATACTCTATAAATACTGAAAAGGCGTTCATTTTTTAGTAAATTTATTAGAAGTTCTAACAGTTTGAAATTGGTCAATTTATCCTTATGTATTTTCATAATTTTAAGAAGAGCTTATAAATAGAAAATATCAGCAAAGCAACTAAAACTAAAGATAAAAAACGCCTTCTCTTTCTTTATTATATTTATTCTTGAAAATTATTTTTATCCTGGGATACTGGTAAAAAACACTTAGTTTATAAAATAATTTTTCATCCAGAAACTGTTTATTACGATCGTTTATTATTTTACCCCATCTTCAGATAACAGCATCAAAACATGAATTATTACAAAATTTCTTGTATAACTGTTATTATCTAAAAAAAATTTAACACAATCATATAAAACATTATTAAAAACACTTTAAAACTTACATAGATCAAAATATTGTTTAAAACTTTTGAACATATGCCAAACATAATATAAATAAATTTAAGTTTTCTATTATATTGTTAAACAACTTAGGTAGGTATTTATACAGTGTGTATCAGCCAAATGGAATAAATTCAATAATAAATAAATGGGGACGTGTTCGAACAAACGCTCGGACACGTCTATTGGTATTTTTAGTTGCGCATTTTTTTCAACTTTTTATACAGGATGTGTCAATAACAACTTATTTTTAAACATTAAGTTTTTCCAGATTTATTGCAAAAATTCACATTAAAAAAAGAAAATTATTTGTTTACAGAAATTCGCTACAACACCCTCAAAAACTAATAAGTAATAGTATTT